CTTTCCTGGTAATACGCGAAATTCTCGCAGACTCTTCATTATTCCAATCTCCTTTTCATTATGTTTCTTTAAAAGAGGATATCCACGACCTTAATCTTCCGCTTTCTGGCGTTCTCCCCATATGAAGCAAGTCGCATTCCAGTCAATCGTGTGGCTGGTTAGGGCGATGTGTTCGGCTATCTCCAATCTTACCATATATTTTGTCCTCTGGAGTCGCAGATGTTCTTTCATCCATGTGCCGATTACCCTTTCAATTTCTCCTAAGTACTTTTTTAAATAGGCGATATGAAGTGTGCTTGAGAGATAGGGATGCAGCGCTAAAGGCTAGGACAAAAAGGGGAAGCAGTGGTGATATAGCTGTTGAACATTAAATTGGTCAATGAGATTGCCTTCACTTGTCACTTTGATAAATTGTACCTCTGTGTCAAGGATGGTGCGCCTGACTGACGATGCCAGCGAAACGGCGAGAAATGCACCAAGTAAACGGTTCGATGCTGGAAGTCATCTGAATATGGTAGCAAAGGACGCGACACTAGGTGTGTTCCACAAGGTATCTCTGACACTGATAAAATTGCGAAAATGAGATCGAAACAACACTATACAGCTACAGGAGACTGTGACTAAAGCTAATGCCACACTGTCTTGGTCTTCATCTCTATTCTATCGTTCACGCAATGTTAAAGGTGGCTCAATGAGGCCAGACCAGATAGCACTAAGTTGATGAATTACCACTGAATATTGACAAAATAAGAGGCTATCTTGCAAAAGGAAAGCAATTTTATATGAAATAAAATCCTGGGCCAATAATGCAGTACGAACTATTTGATTTTAAAAAATTATGAAGATATGAAAGTAAAAGTGATATGGCATTTTGTTTAGTTGCGCTTTCCCTTGATTAAAAGAAGTCGTTTTAATCTCATTTTAGCGATTCGTACAAGAATAAGAAGAGACTCTAGGGGGATGTATCATTTACTGATTCAGAGAGGTTTTTCAGCATCCTCGGTCATTGACAAGTTTCATTCCGATTCATTTATCTCATATTTAGCTCGGCATTCGAAGATAAATGCTAAGTCTAAGTTATGGGTGCATTGCTCGGGCGAAAGCTCGCAGTATTATTCACCTCCGAATCTCCACTCCCACTTCATATAGATACCAGATTAGCATTGGTGCTTACTCAGATAAACTCGAAGAGTGCATTTGATTGGATGAGTCTGCTGAAACATTATAAATTTCACTGCCACTCTCCTATTCTCAACATCCGAACCATTCTATCAAAACTATTTTCTCAATTCGGCAATAATTATATCAAGCTATCTCGGCGTTCTGTTCATGGTCCAATTCAATTCATATAGGACACCATTTTTCATATCATTCAGTTCAGTCACCGTATCGATCGCACCAGAAGAATTAAATGTATGACCTCGCTTTTCTTATCCTACTGGTCAACCTTAAGTATATACGCATTATATGTATTGATTAGTTAATTCGGGCCCGAGCTTCGTCTGAATCTTCCGTTTTAGTAAGTTACTGGTGCCTTTTTACGCTCAAGTTACTTAACCTTTCCAACATTCTCAACTGTGCTCTGCGATTCATGAAAATAGCCCGGTCCATGAATCCAACGAACTTTGTGCACTAACTTAAATAGTTTGATCCGTTACGTATTAAATGCCTCCTGTCAACCTCCTTAGAATGGCAATATTTCTTTAAAGAGCCCAAGGTAGGTTGGGCTTACCATAAACAAATCCTTCGAGAAGCTGATCTTCTTTGTTAGTATCTGGCCCAACACCGAAATATGCTGTCGGCTTTGGGGCTAAAGGGTCAGAAATATCGTCGGTATTATTGGCCACTAGGCAAGGAGCTGATGAATCCAATTCGGTTTGCCCTGACTTAGGCAGACTCAGAGTTGTGTCTTTAATCTGTGCACCGTTAGAGTTGAAATCAAGCTTGTCTCGCTTGAAAACGCTCAAAACACGAATAACAGCATTTAGATAAGCCATACGGGTGGAGGAACGATCATGGCACGACTGTTCCTCAACCAGAGCCTAAAGAAAGAAAGAAGTAAAAAAGGAGAAATGAAACAAATAATGAGGTTCATGTGAAATAGCCAGTGATTTAATAATAAGGATCAGTTA